AATGGATAAAGAAAATGTGGTATTTATATACAATGGAGTACAGTTGTGCCACAACAAAGGATAAACTTGAGTCAACTGTGAGGAAGTAGATGTGGTTTGAGGCTATAATGTTAAGTGAAATAAATCAGGCACACAAGTTTAAATATCACATGGTTTCTCTTATAGGAGAAATGAAAAAAATGTATAAAGAGCAAAATAAAAGATAGCCAATAGGAAATAGGAAGAGATTCTGCAAAAGTGAAGAGGACTGTCTTAGTTACATTTCCCATTACTGGTACAAAATACCCAACACCCACAAGTTAAAGGAAGAGAAGTTTATTTTGGCTCACAGTTTGTGGAGGTTTAAGTCCACAGTACTCTGGTTTTGGGGCAGGGTGGCATGGTAGAGGGGCATGGTAGAGGAGAAAGAGTCCATGGCATGGTAGGCAGGAGGCAGAAAGCCTTCTTTCTTTTCCTTTTTATTCTATCCAGTCTGCAAGCCTATTGCTTGGTGCCACATACCCCCAAGGTGTGTCTTCCCCCTTCAGTAAGTCCATCATCCATACCCAGAAGTATGCTAAACCATTTAGTGGACTAATCCAGTATCTCACATTCATGATCCAGACACTCTCAGAAGTCCCACCTATGAGTGGATGATGCTTGGGGGAAACATCTAGGTTTAAGATATAACAGGGACCAAGAGATAGAGTGGGGAGGAGAGGGAAAGAGGACATAAAAAGAATTGATATGTGTTGTGTACATGTACCAACTCCCCACGAGTAATGTAATCATTATGCACTGCAAACATATGCTAACAAAAATAAAATTTTAAAAAAAGTACGCAGACTGTGGTAACACTCAATTATTGTACGTTGCTTTGATTTTTTCAGGCAGGGTTTCTGCAACTAAAGTCAAGAGGACTAGTTGAATACATAATTAATTCATGATATCAAAACACTTGACAGACTCCCAGATATACCCAGGTAACTCAGGACAGTGTGATTAATGGGTTATGTTAAGATTTTTGTGATATGCCTCCTGTCACTGCATGCTATTATGGTTCTGTTCTACAGGAGGTCAGTGATATAGTAGAGATGGTCATTGCATCCTGCATGTTTTCTCTTCAATATTTAGACATGATGCATAGTAAGGGTGATAGTAAAAGGATAAAGTAATACATATGAATTGTTCTTTTTAAATTATATCCATATCCATAACATACAGTATGACTATTAAAGGCCACCACAGCCACTGAGTTTTATTTTCTGGGTTGCTTTTCTTATAATTCATATCCTGCAATATTCAGAGTACCATTAAGAATTAATAGTCACAGATTTTTATTTGTTTTATTTGTTTTTTTGTTTTGTTTTGTTTTGTTTTTTGGGTATCGGGGATGGAACTCGGGTCCTTGCGCTTGCGCAGCAGGCGGCGAAACCACTGAGCTAAAATCCCTGGCCCAGTCACAGATTTTTAAAAAACAGTGATTATAATGTAGTATGCAAGCACTATTCACTTATTAATACTACCTATGTATTCTTTTGACACTGCACTGCGTGAAGGGCAAAAGCAAAGCTCAGCATATGGTCAGGCACAATAACTTATATACCATGAACAGTATATTGATGTCTGTGAGTTTGAATTAGTTTAGCTTCAGCTTTGGCTAGAGCCTCTGATTTCAGATAATTTGTATTTAACCAGGTTTTCATTCACTTGCTATTGCCTTTCACACAGAATTAGTAATGGCTCTGACTTGAAATGGGTCTCTAGTGTTAAATAATTGGCTAAATACCATAGCGCAATTTTTTTTGCCATCCCAGATTAGGGTGAATTACATCCTGATCTGAAATCAAGCGCACACATCTGGGCCAGGGAAACAGAACCAGTCAACCCATTGTTGGTTCCAATAGTTTTAAATTGTTCACTCTATTTTCACCATCGAAAACATTGTATCTTGTTAAAAGATCTTTTATCTGCCATAACAAGACCTGGAGTTTAAGATGCAATTACTGGAAAGGCAACTGTAATATTTTTCTTTCCCCAGAAAAGAAAAACAGAGAAACTCCTGTTTCCTGACTACATGTCAACTGTTAGAAATGTTTAAAAGCAAAGAAAATGGAGCTGCGTTTGTTCAGTATAATAATGTTAGTAAAGACATGATGTCTCACTGTAGTATTCCTGCAAGTTAATTTATTTGTTGTTTTAGAGAGAAATTCTGTTTCCATTAAAATTACGTTTCTGGGTAGGTGACTAATAAACAGAGGACCTGGAAATGGAATCGGTCTCTTGAGCCTATTTACATTCTTAATCATACACAGCTGCTCAGTTGAAGGAGGATTTTGAATTTTTCAAGGGCAGAAAGAATCTTATCTTCTGTGATTAAAACATTAGATCATGGTCACCTTGAACCATCACCATCACCATAATTTAGAAAACTAAGTTTTGAGAAAGGGGGATGTTTCCTTCAGTGCCTAAGAAACCTTCTTTTAGGTATTCTGAACTCAGATTTTAGTACATTTGAAAAACATTTCCTTTGATGCAAAACAGCTGTAGTTGTGTTCTGAGCAATATAAACATTCTTTCCCACCTCCCCCATCTTCTTATACTTTCCAGGTCCAAGGAAAAGGATTTAAAAACTTTCCAGTTTCTTCTTATCATGCACTTCCCACAACTGTTTCCTTTTTAACTAAATAGCACTTTTAAAGATAACTTTTACAAAATGGAGCCTCGGCACTTACTTGAAGCAAATAGCCTAAAGATGGTTGAAAAAAATTAACTTAAAAAAACATAGTACAAAGTTAAAACATTTTCTTATAGCATAACTCCTGACAGATCTTCAAATGTATTTCCCACTTGGGATAACACAGGAAGCAAGAAGGCCCCTTACATTTCTTTTCTCATTTTACCTTACAGGAAGTGATCCTTCCAGTTTCCTCACATATAAATCAAAGTTCCATCTCTATGCTTCTGTGAGGATTTGTCTATGAGCTCTTTGTCACAATAATGTTAAGACAGGACCATTTTGCATTATCACTGGTGAATTTCCCACATTTTAGAAACTGTGTAACAGATTCATAGCTGCTTCTTAGCATCTTGTATCTGAATAGCATCATTCTGAAGTAGCTTTTAATATGTAAATAAACCAGTACAAACCAATTTTCAAGTGATTTTCCAACTAGTATGGCTACAGACCACAGGAGGGCCAATTACATTTAGTTCAGAACTTTTTCCCTATGGAAATTTGCTTGTAAAAGCTCAAGGAGTTCATTTTCTGGTGGAGCTTGACAAAGGGGAGAGCTTGACTTTAGACTAAGGAGTGAGTGTAAGGATAAGAATATAATTTGTGGAAGGAAAATTACACTAAAAGTAATTTTAAAAATTTTAGTAATACATACTTTTTAGTGGTCTTGGTACTTCTGAACATAACAACTTTTAGTTATGTCTAAGATGGTTTTATCCCAGGAATGGAATTCACCACTTTTATTTATTTACAAAATATGCTATTAGCAAAAAAAATAATGTGAGAATAAATGTCTCTTTAGCCTCAATTCTCTGTTTTTAGATCTGTAGCATAAAGATGAAAATGGCATTGTAATTAAAGTAGCCAATTTCTAACACATTTTCCTTTCTGGTATTGGGATTGAATCCAGGCTGCTCTAACACTGAGATATATTCCCAGAGATATTTATTTTTTAAGTTGAGATGAAGTCTTACTAAGTTGCCCAGGCTGGCTTTGAATTTGCAATCCTCCTAACTCAGCTTCCCAAGTACCTGGGTTTTAAGATGTGTACCACTGTGCCTGACCTAATCCTTTTCTTTCTACTACTTTGAACTTATTTCATTTCTCTAGTTAAATTTAATTAGTCATCCACTTAGTAAAGATCTAATGTTATGAAAATTAATTACTGTTTATGATTGAGCTTTGATCTTAGCTGAAGTATATTATCTATGTATTTTCCTTTAGTCACTCTGTAAAGTAGTTACAAAACTTCTACAAAGGACTAAGCTACTCACATTCATTGCCTTGAGTACAAATTCAGCATTTCAAATAATATAACTGATTAATTTATTAGTCCAAAAAGTAGTTCCTAAAGAATCACAAATGTTGACTAAGTTTGACATGCGTTTAAAAAATTTATCAGAAGAAACCTGGGAGAACAGAAACTTTTGGCTGAAACTTGCTGTAATTTCATGCTTGTAGATACCCATCTGGTCTTACGTGTATTTTCCATGGAGAGCATGAAATTAATTGTGTGCAAGAGATTGCCTTTTTGGTTTAGCACAGTATCATCTTACATGCCTCTGCTTTGCATTTTTAACCTAGTTCTCATTGGTCTGTATCACCCACATGCTTCCCCAGTGGCCAATATGTAGAATGCTCTGTAGAATGCAGTTATCTTAAGCAAGTTCTGTGACACTAGACTTTGTTAAAAGGCTATTTAATTACACATGGATATCTTATGACTTTTTTGAGTGCTTTAAATTTTCATTCCGTTAATGCTAACATTTTTACAGCTAGTTATAATATTGATAATAGTGGCTAACACCTATAAAGAACTTTCTGTATTTTAGAAAATTACTCTTTCTGGATCATCTGATCTATTTCTCACCACTGTCTTGTAAAGTACACATAAGTATTATTAGAAAACACTTGGAACTGAATGGTAATGAAAATATGACATGATAAATTTGTGGAATGCAGAAAAGCCTTGCTTAGAGATGAACTCATGTTTTTGAATAAACTTATCACAGAAGAAGAAGGTTAAAAATCAACAGTCCAGGCCAGGGATTTAGCTCAGTGGTGCTATGCTTGCCTCAAAAGCACAAGGTCCTGAGTTCGATCCCAGTACCAGAAACAACAAAACAAAACAAAATAACAACAAAAAATCAACAGTATATCTCAGTGGCTGGGAGTGTAGCTCAGTGGTGAAGTGTTTGCCTAGCATATAAGTTGGCTTTCCTGTCACTGCACCAAAATACCAAACACCTGCATTTTAAAAGAGGCATGGTGTAATTTGGCTCACAGTTTCAGAGGGTTTAGTCCATGGTTAGCTGGCTCCAAGGCAGGAACATCATGGTGGAAGGGTGTGGTGGTGCAAAGCTGCTCATGTCATGGTGATATCACAGCTATACGTGGATTTTGATCAGCGTTACCCAGGAACAATTTAATTTTTCTGTTAGGTAAAAAGCACAATAGGAGAAAACAAAGCAATGATTAGTAAGGACTCAAGCAATTGTACAAGCCTGTTTCTCATGGGGATTTGTGGTTAAGAAGCATGTCCAAGATGTAGCTTTATTTAGTTTCTGATTAATGAAAGTGTACTGAAGGAAATGGTCTACAAAGGATGGGGAATATAACAAATGTGGCAAAGAAGGAGTGAAAATTAAGCGTACAGAATATCTTTGAAGGCAGTAAGATAGGCAGGCAGGCAGCTAGGAGTTTGTAATGGAGTTCTTATATGCTATGTAAAGTTGAGACATTAATGTATTATATCACTAAATGAGAAATATTGAGGCAATTTTGGTTTAAAGTAAAAATAACTAAATTCCTTGGCATTCAAGGAATAGCAGTTTAATAAATAGCATTTTATTAGAATAAAAGGATAAGAACTAGTTAATGAAAGATTGAGTTATCACTTTTTGACCAGTGTTTCTTTGTAGAGTAGGAGTTTGTGCCAGTCTAGGAAAACTCAATTTTAAATCTCAGTGTTAAAAACAGCATTCCTCACCAATCTACCCTGTCAACCATCAGATATTATACAGATATGATGTGGACAATGACTCAAATTTTGTCTCCATGTAGAAATGGGAATTTCATAAAATTTAAGTAGAGATGTTAGACTGTAGAAAGACAAGTCTCTGTCATTACAGCCAGTATTTAAGCTGATGAAAATATTAAACAAATTCATGAAAATTCTAAAATATGAAGTTTCCCAGCTATTACAACAAGAGACATAGCCTAATCCCAATTATTAGTTTTCTTTCATTTGGTAATTTTTTGCAAGAAGCTTTGGACTAAAGAATAAAATAGACCATACCCCAAATGGGAAACCATAGCACTGTTAAGTGTATGGAATAAAGTTACAGCTGGAACCAATTTCTTTGTGTGTTTTTCTGTGAAAAGGATTTGGATATTTCAAGAAAGTGCTGAAAAAGTGAGAGGATTAGAGTTCCAGGGACACATATATGATAATACAGTGGCATTTCTAATCTGGAATCTAAATTAGCAAAGAATTTATTTTAGTCTACTTGTTCCTGCAGCAGTGGTTGTAATTTCTGAGTAGAGTTCTGTGTAAGCTAAGGGAATCTACATATAACTAGAACTACAGCCATTGTCTTTCACTGATAAAGGTGGCATCTCTTAATTTAATTCCCTCAGGGTAGATACTTAAACTGCCCAGGTGATTGGCTAATTCACATTAGACTATATCCAAAGAAAAGATTTTTAACAATTCTTCCAGGCAGGATTGGAAAATAGATTGTCTTTCATAGGATAACCTATACCTTGGGTCATGTACTGACTGTGATTTACTGTGCCTATCACTCCCATTATCATTGCAATAAATTCTTACCCTGTTTCTATTTTCCCCTCCTTTTAACCTGTAGCTGCTGCGAGGCTGGATCCAAGCTGTTTATAGCCTAGGAGTAATGGAATGGAGGAAAGCTGCTTGCAGTGGTGATAAAGTAGGATGATTTGCTTCTTTAAGTCAAGGGATATAGAAGCATATTTACCCTATAAAGTTGGAGGAGGAAAGAGGGATATTCTTTGTCTGATTTTAAGAGTTAAGGAAAAGGAACAGATACTCATTTCATATGAATGTAAAAGATCATGACAATAAAGTGCCACAGGAGAACATAACTTCCCTGTAGAGGATAAGGTCAAAGTCAGTATGACAATTTTGAGGAAATATTTTGTGAATGTTGTACATATTTCCAGTTCTGGTTGAATCCGGTATCTATTAACCAAAGTGTAAAGATACCTATTCTTAAGACTATTTTGGCAGTTTTTCATATCCCCAAATTTTACTTTGTAGGCTTATGTGGAATTTCAGTGGTTGAGTTAAGCCCAATATCTAAACTTATATAATATTTTATAACTTGATACATAAAGATAAAAATAATTACGCATATTCTTATATTGAAGTTACTTAAGTTATTTTATTTTTAAATAGCAAGAATAAAATTATATTATTATGGAATATGTTCTAATAAAGAACTAACTAATATCTCAGCTGAACATTAATATCTTATGCAAACTTTTTTCTAAGAAAAACATCATTTTAATTAATGTTAAACTTAGTAATACTGGAATGCACAATTAATATAAGGAAAACATCTCTATTCAAATGGAAAAAGTAATGGCCAATTAGCAAATACATTACCTGTGGGTGTTCTCTCTAAAGGGAGACTGAGGCCGGAGAGCACCTTCCTTTAAAGAAAGAAAAGGAGACAGCCTGGGGGATGAACAGCAGTTTATTCTCCTAACACTGTTTGACAGTCACAAAGGAAAGAAGTAAGGCTTTTATACATGTAGGAAAGCAGCTTAATTATTCTGGCTATGGTCTTTCTGATTTTAACATCTGGTGATAACAAGTGACTTTGAGTGACTCATAAAGGCTACAGGCGAATTTACAAGTTCCTCGTTTCTGTTTACCAATCCTGTACATCTAAGGGCACACCGAAGCCCTCTTCTTATCAGATGGTATCAAGAAAGCAGGGCAACTTCAGCAGAAATCAAGCCCACCGGCCCACCGCAAACATCACAGATGTAAATAGTGAATCGTACCTCTCTCACCACCCATAGAGTCATTGGGTTGCGGTTCTCTGATCCCAGACAATGGTAAATAAGAAAAAGGAAAACCTGTTTTTCTCCCATGAAACTTTTACAATGTCTTTTAAAGTTTCCTGGAATTCTTTTAACAAACAGACTTGTGGAAATTCCCAGAAACGACTTCTTAATTTTCTGTTAACAAACTTCTTGTGATCAATTCTTACAACTAGATAGCTAAATTCTACAATTTCCCACAATTACCCATAAAGAAGAAAATTGTAGCATGTAGAGTAAGTTAAATGTGTTGTCTTTTTTGAAGCAAGCTTTGATATTCTTTCTTACAGTCTAGAAGTAAAAAAAACAGTTAATGAATGTACCTAAGAAGGCCATATAGATACATTTTTTTCAGAATGAATGACTGCTGCATGTGCTAGTGGGAGAAATCTAGTGGGTGAGCTTTGAATAGTATATGCATTGAAGAATAGTATATATGTATGTTTAATGTATCAGATAATTAATTTTATTCCTATAAATAAATCTGGAATAAGCCAGACCTTGTACATATCTTCTGAGATATTATATCACTATTTTGTTCCTATATTACCTTTTCACCCCAGTTATTCACTTTGTGATCCCAAACAATCAACCTTTTTGTAAGAAGCTAGCACATTACTTACTTTTACTTAATGAGAGCAATGATCTTATTTTGCTAGGATCCATGCAAATGTAGCCATGAGTCAGAGATGTTCTCTAGGATTCTCAGTGATATAAGGCCAAGGAATCTGTGCAGTTCAAACATTAAAGGCAATTACCCATATATTGTATTGTATCTGTCAGATATTGTGCATGAAATGCAGGGATAGGAGGTATCTTATCATTTTATCTCCATTTCAGACCTAAACCTCAAAATCTATCTTAAAATTTGCAGCAAAATTTGGACCTCAGAGAATTTGCTACTTTCAGAGTAGGTACTATTGCTTTGCATACACTTCAAAAATAAATAAAGAAAAACTTTGAAACTTGAAAAGTCAACATTTTCCCTGTCTAATGACTTACTTTTCAACCAAATTTAGTAAACTTACATTTAAACTAAACAAACCTAAAGACCAAAAGGAAAAATCTTATTACTTTAAGAAATTAGCTTCTATTATGATACTTAATATCTCATCCCAAAGTGACAATTTGAGATCATGAAACTAGTGCAATTTTGAGAAATACCAAAAATCAATTAGAGCTGCCTTAATAAGTGCATACAAGGTACTCACTTTGCTAAGTAAATGAGGAAAATGGTTTTTAAGTACTACCTACCTTTACCTTTGGTCTTTTATTTTCTTGTATTCAGTGAGAAATGAAGACTGTGGTTGGGCACCAGTTACGAGGATCAGTAATCAACCTTGGAGAAAAGGCCAGCCCAGCAGCACCCAGGCCACATGTTCTTATGACCTTCACAGGCAGGCCAGCCCCTGTGTCTCGAAATCTTATGCTGACTTTTTGCTTGGCCTTTCTCGATCTGTCACCTAGCCTCAGAATCTCATTTGCCTTCTCCCTCCATCCCAGGCTTAATAATCATGACCTGGCAGCTGGGCAGCTGTGGCAGCCACACTTGACAAGATTCACATAAAGATGAACTTGTCTTTTTTTTTTTTTTTTTTTTTGTACAGGGATCGAACTTGGGACCTTGCACTTGCAAGGCAAGTGGTAGCACCACTGAGGTAAATCCCTGGCACCTTCTTTGCCTTCTTAATGGGGGCTTTCTCTTCATTAGGATGTATGGGCAATCAAGTTTGCCTTTACTTTTTGATCCTGAAGAAAGTTTGCTGAATTTTAGTAGTTTCAATCATATTGGCAGATTTTTTTATTTGTCCTTGAAAACAATTTTGATGTCTGTTAGGGCACACCACAGAGGTGTGTTCTACTCTGACCACTCATGTCTTGGCGTGAAGGACCACTCCGGCTGGGTTTATGCTGCTGGGTTTGCGCTGGCTGGGGAGCTGTTAGGCCTGGCTTCTGTAAGGTGGTGAGTCTGTAGTTAAACACAAAGACATACCCTTGGGACCTCTTTGCAACATTCTGCTCTATTCTGGTCATGTTTTAGGCTAGGCTTGCCAGATTTCAGGCTGGCCCTAGTAATCCAGGAGGCCCACAAGAACTTGTGTCTGTTCCAGGACAGCCATCTTGCTCATTAGGATGAATGACCAAGGTAACCCTACAATTCAAAATGCTTCATAATGTTTCCAGGATTTATGGGAGAGACAAGTTAGTGAGAGACGCCGGTGTGTTGATGGAACCTAACTTCTTGATGCAATAATACATTTCTTTCATCTTTAGATATGTTTAGATTCCTATAGACTCATTATGGCTGGCGGGTCAAAAGTTAACATTGCTCATTGTAATGATCTTCACTTTAGATTGGAATTGTATTTGTTTTCATTAATGATCTAATTAATGATCAAAGTTTGTTATGTGATGAGGTGAAAGATTAGGTGTTCTAGCTGAGGCGTTTTCTTCTACTGAGAACACAACAGCAATAAATAATAATGTCATGTCCCCCGTACAGATTTCAAACAGATTTTATATATATAATATATATTATATCATATTATATATTATATATTATATATAAATAGTTTTAAGGTCAAATATATATTTTTTCCAATTTAAAATTTATGGAGTGATCCTGTGCTAGAGATTGAATTGACAGTCTGGATTCAGGGATTTTAAAGAAACTAGAGAAGATAAATTTCTGCAATGTTATAAAAGTACTTGAGTCATATTTTCCCACTAAGATCTTTCTATATATTTTTCTGATATTTTCTGGTTCTAAAAGTTGGTGGTGAATTGTTTGAGCCTACCTTAACTTCTTTCCTCCTCATTTATTTTCTCAGAGGAAGGCTGGATTCTTTGGTCAACAACCCTTTTAAAAAATTTCCATTGTTAATACATACAAATTATTGGATAGTATAAGTACATGTATAAAACACAATGAAATATATATTAAATTTTTATTTGTGCTTTTACCATTTAAAAATTAGCTCTGGGATTTAAAATTAAATATATCATTGAGCTTTTCATTTAAAAACTAAGGCCCAAATATTTTATGTTTATGATTCTGCAAGTCCATCAGGAAAATTCCCTCCAGTAATAACTTTATGAGAGTGATATGTTTAGCTACTGAGACTGTTTCACTATTTGACATTCATTAGGAGTTTTCTAAAATCCATAAACCACTAGTCTATATTGAACAAGTCTGGTTAAATAAATGACTATGTAACTACAGAGGAAATAGGAGAGTTAATCAAGAGAAGATACTTTACGTAATGCTAATGATTTCCCTTTAGCAAAAACCTTGATCTTATTTTCTTTCTTTATGAGTAGAGTTATAGAAGGTGTGTCTTAGAATGTAAGAGTCTCAACTTCTTTCAGTGGTGGATAAAGCAAAGAGTAAAGAGAATTGTCAATGTGGTGTGTTAGTCAGTGACCTTGGAGTTATGCAACTAGAATTAAATTTTAGCTTCTTCATTTACTGTGAAAAGTTGTTAAGTTATTTAACATCTCTGAATCTTGGTTTCTTTATATTTATAATATAGTAATGGCCAATCTATTATAAGAATCAAAAGAAATAATGTATATAAAGTGTCAAGGACAAGAGAACTCCCAGTTACCATTTCTTGAGTCAAGTGAATTCCAAATCCCAATTTTGAAGAACATTTGATTTTAACTTAAATACTTCTCTACCCTGCCTGTCTGTGGTTTTTAATAATGAGTTGTTGGTTTTATAACTTGACACTTTAGCTAACAGAGCCTAAGGATCTCTTCTTCATCCATCTTTTAAAAAATGTTGGCAGAGTGCAAATTAATATAGTTTCATCAGTTAAATGTTCTGTTAGCATAGGAATAGTTATTATTGGGAGGCATGCCCCTGTGAATTTTCAGAGTCATTCAGGTGAAATAGTTTAGGAATTTCAGTGGAACTGCATCCTTGAATCATTTACTTGACTTGCATCAAAAATTGTCTGAAAATTTTACTGAGTATGAGAAAGTATTTAAAGACTGTGTAATCCATCCAGACTCTGGTCCTTGGGACCTATGAGTGGGTTTCAAGAGGTCAACAAACTCCCTGAAATTGTGCAGAGTTACTGTTCTGTGCATTTTGTGCTCAGAAGTCTATAGTATTTGAAAGATTCTTAAAAGTATTCACAGCTCAAATAGGAATTAGAACCACTTTTTAGCTATTCTGATGATTGTCCTTGAAAGAAATTAGGTGAAAAGAGTATTTCTTTAGACTATGTGAACTCAGCCTAAGACATAATACCTTTTACTGAGTTTTGTTTCATGCCTATATAATATAATAAAATGAATAATAGCTGTATATTTTTTTCACAGGAAACACTATAAACGTAAGTGTTGACAGTAGAGTGTCATATGTCATAGATAAAAGTTTCAAGGAGAGTTTTCTTTTAGAATCCAGCCCCAGAAAACTCGTAGCTTTCTCTTAATATGCGCAGCACCAGCCTCTTTTTTTCTTTCAGTACTGAGATTGAACCCGGGTCATCACACTGAGCTGCATCCCCAGTTCTTCTATTTTTTTTTATTTTGGGGCAAGGTCTTCCTAAGTTAGTAAGTTTTCCAGGCTGGGTTCAAATTTGCAATCCTCCTGCCTCAGCCTCCCCAGTGCTGAGATTACAGGTGTGTGCCACCACACCCCATTCTTTTCCTTTTTAAGTAATAAGAGTTCAATTATTCATTCTATTTTTCATTTTTACCTTATTTTCAGGCAACCAAAAATCAGAATTTAAGCCAAATGAAAGCATCTAAGTTGCTCTTACCAGTGGACATATTTATTTCATCTATTCAATAGCAACTATTTTCTATTTATAATTACATTTTATTATATATATTTTTATTATAAACTGCCTTACATTCTCTTTGGAAACCATGAGACATAATGTGCATTAAAAAAGAAATCAATTTTTGAACTGATGTGTAGGAGTAAAGGAGAATATTTTTATAATTACAGTGAAGAAAGGCAATGCATTCTTCAAGTAAGAAAGCATGACCACAAAGGCTGAAAACTTATTTTATAATAAGTTATAAACAAATCATCACCATCTGAATTAGCCAGGTCACTCCTGAAAGGGACTTTGTCAGCTGTTGGATGCCACTTTTGGCTGTAAGAAGTAGGTCAGCTGTGACTCATAAGTGAACTTCAGGTCTTTCAGGACAGTCCAGCTCATTTAGGGACACAGGTTACTGCATAATTGATTAATGAAAAGAAAATCCCCATGCAATTCATGTGTCTGTTTTGTAATAATGTATGATTCTTTTTCTTTTAGCTCATTTTCTGTTAAGTCTCTCTCTTTTGTATTCACTTTCTCCTCTAGGTCTGGGGAAGGAAGAGAGAGGATGAGGGACTAGAGTTCATAAATACAGAAGCTGCAGATGGATTTTCAGAGATGGTTGAATTAAGAATTTGCTAACAGAGTTGACGGATTAGTGTGGACTTAAGAAAGGGTCTGGGTCATATCTGGATTCAGTTTTGGGGAATGATTTATTTGAACATTCATTTATTTAGTCAAAATGTAGTTATTGAGTTTCCATTCTGTGTAAGTACTTCTCAAGAAACTGGGGGTATGGATGTGAAAGCACACATCATTGTTTTGTGTTTGTGGGCTCACGTGTGTATGTAGTTTATGGGAAATGAATACTTCTCTCATGACCCACTGAGAAGAACAGAGGTTTGTATGAAGTGCTCCATGAATATAGAGATTAAGATGAATCCAAATTCAGAGATGGCTTCAGAGGACTCTATTTTGACCTGGATCTTTACAAATAAGTTGAATTATGAATCATTGCAATGACGGGGCCAAAGAGAATGATTTTCCAATATCTGGGTATATGAAATGCCATACCATTCTCGGGTCCTATTCAGCAGGACTGTAATAACCTATGTTTTGATGGGCACATGCTAGAAAGTAGTAGAGGATGCAGCTGAAGATTTGGGAACAGATTTCAAAGGGTGTTGATCATTTGGGCCTTGATCATTTTAAGGTGTTTGGACTTTTTTGTGTAGGACAAAATGAGCCCTACTCACATGGTCCTCATGCACTGAATCAGTGAGGTGTGTATTAGTTACATTTTATAATTCTAGCACAAAATAATAAAAACTGCTATATATCTTGACCATTCATAATTGTTTTCAGCCAATTTTTTAGCAATGAGTTGGCACCTAATATAAATGATAAACTGGTACATAATGCCTTTGTTTTGCCTATGGATGACTGTCTATTACTTCTAAATAATTCAGGTAACTAAAGTCATTTTCCTGTGTTAGTGATTACTGAAGGAAAAGCAGAATACTTGTTCCAATATTTA